CGCAGCCTTCCAGGGCCCTCTGTCACTCACTGAAGCGTCCATCTAGTCTGTTTTACCCCACGTGCACCCATATGAAGAAGTGGACGCAGGAGCCTACTGATGCCAGTTGCTGGGCCAGAGCTGCACTGGCCCCGGCCACCCCTTTGGCCCTCCTTGGCTCAGTCTGCAACCTCGTGACAGGCAAGAACTCCCCAGGCCACAGCTCGCACGTCTGAGAACCCCGTCGCCCTTTCTCACGGGGAGCACTCCGACTGGTTTGATCGCCACTGGGCCAGGGAGGGAAGGGGGTCTGTGCTCGCCTCTTTCTGTCATGTCTGGTAAACGTTTTCAGGCGAGTGCTGCCGTCTGCCCCACCCTGGGCAGGGCCAGGCACCCCTGGCTTTGGTTGAAATCCTTGGGTCTGATGCTCAGGAGGACTGGTGTTTTCCCTCTCAGGTGCTTTCACGTGAGTTTTCTTAGGTGAAACTCATGACACCTTTGTGGGTGGTTCGGGTGGCAGGTTGTGGGTGGGCGGTGTTGGTTGCCACCGTTTTTCCAGTGAGGCTGGGCAATAAAGTGACTCAGCCTCAAAGGTGCCGTTGGAAGCTGTGGGCAGCACCTCCCACTGCCAGGACTCTAGCTTCGCTGTGAGAAAAGGCTTTTGGAAGTTGGGACCTGTGCTCCCTGGCTCAAAAGATCGGGTGTGTCAGTTTCAGGGCATCAGTTGCAGGGTCTCCAGGCCTGAGCACCCACCTCCAGGCCCCAGGCCCCAGGGAAAGAGCCCCAGCCCGAGCCCTGACAGTGATGTCTCTTTCCCTGCGATGCCTCAGCAGCTTCTGATGCTCCTGTGATGGCGGCCTATGCCCACCAGAGGGCGCCAAGGCCTGACGCCGCTCAAGGGGCTTGGCTCTGCAAACCCAAATTCTTTTTAATTGAAAATTTTTTTAATTCAAAAAGGATTTGCTGTTTGTACTCGAGTGCAGGCTTCCCTTATGCGGGAGACTAATGTCTTGCGTAAACAGATCTGGGCCCAAATCCGCCTTCAAAGGTACTCGCTGTTTGCCCAAGGGAGTGAAAGGGCTTCCAGAGGCGGCCCTAGTCTCTTGGGCAAACACTTGGGGGCCAGCAATCCCCGGCAGAGGACAGCGTCTGTGGGAAGGGTTATCTGCAGCCTAAGGGGGATTATGTCAGGGGACATATGTTGAAATTTCATTTGGGGAGTTAGTGAAAACAAGAGGGGGGAGCCACCCTTTTCTCCAGCCAGTGCAACCTAAAAAGGGGAAAATCTCAAGGGCAGGGGTGGGGGCGGGGACAGCAGTCTGTGCTCTGTGCCCAGATCCCTGGGGCTCCGGAGGGGGCGGCCGTGTACTTGGGCTGTGAGTCAGGAAGAGGCTGTGTGTACTCTTCCCCTGCCTCCCCCCACCCCACCCCCAAACACAGAGACACAGGAGTTCAGCTGTTTGTCCTCAGAGGCTCATCTGTGCCCCCCTCCTAGGGACCCTGTCCCTGCTCTGCCACAAAGACTGGCCTCAGGACTCCCCACTAAGCCCTGGTCAGCACTTGCGTGCCCAGGCTGGGAAATGTCCTGTCCCCCGCCCCCGCCCCACCACCCACCCTGACACCCAGAAAGCTGTAGCGCCCTTCACTGGGGCCACTCCTGCCAGCTCTCCCAGCCACAGAGGGCCCAGGCCCCTGGCTGCAGACAGCTGGGAGCTGCCGCCTCCAGCTCTTTTGATGGGCTCTGTGCCCACCAGCTCGCAGCAACTCCAGGCAGCCCGACTGCCCATATTTGCCCCACTGCCCTGGAGCCTGGCACAGCGGGTCCCCCGAAGCCTCCCAGAGGGGAGGGGCCACGGCCCAGGGGTCTGGGCACCTGGCACGGGCTGCTCCCTCATTTGAGAGGAGTCTCGCCTCTCCACTGCTCCAGGCAGGGTCTCCCAGGCTGGTCTCAGAGCAGCCGGAGGGAAGCCCCCAGCCTCCTCCTGGCCCACCCCCAGTCTCTGGGCGCTCATCCCAAGTGCCAGGCCCAATGCCTTGTGGGCATTTCTTGAAACATCGCCACACCTGTAAGGCCAGCTAGCCTGACCGAAAGTGCCTCCAATGACCATCCCTTATTCTCTGGGTCCGTGTTTCCCAGCTGAGTGGCTCCCCCACCCCACGTGCTCCTTGGGGACCACCCTCAGCCACAGGCTGAAACATTCTCATGTTCTCCCACCCAGCTTCCTCTCCCTCCCGTGTTGCTCATTGGGTTAATGGGTCGTGCCCACATCTCTCCCTTACCACCTCGTGCAGCTCTCCCCTGGCCCCTGTGCTGGGTGGATGTAGTGAGTGGGTGCCCAGGAATCCAATGAGGGAACTGCTTCCTGCTGTGATGCACCGAAGCAGCCACAAGGTGGCGGTATTGTCCCGGGCTTTGCCCAAGTCTGAGGCTTCCAGAGCCACACTGGTTTGCCAGCCACTTGGAAGCTGAAATCCCCAGACCCTGGCCTGGGCCCTGGTCGCCAGAGAGTAAAAGAGTGACTGGCTGGGTGCTGCTGTGATTGTCCCAAGTGGCCAACAGGTGTGCAGTAAGCATTTGCCTTGGGTCGGGGCTTGGCGGGCCCTCACCCCGCCGAACCTCCTTGTGACCCCAATTTTTAATTGAGGTATAATTGACATTATTTTCATTTCAGAGGTACAATATATTCATTATTTGTATACATTACAAAATGATCAGTGTAGTTAACATCTGTCACTACAGTTACAGTTTTTTTTCCTGTGATGAGAAGTTTTAAGATTTACTTTTAGCAACTTTCAAATATGCAGTGCGGTGTAATTGCCTATGATGAGCTCTGTATCGCGTCCCCATGACTTATTTTCACTGGGAGTTCGGGCTTTGACCCTCATCACCCACGGACCCACCCAGCCCCAACCCTGCCTCTGGTGACCGCCAACCTGTCCCCTGTTCCTGTGAGCTCACTGGGAGCTTTCTGTGTCTTTTTTTTTTTTTTAGATTCCACATATAAGTGAGATCATATGGTGCTTTTCTTCCTCTATCTGACTTATTTTATTTAGCATAACGTTGCCACAAACGGCAGGATTTTGTTAATCTTACAGCTGAATAACACTCACTCCACCATGTGTAGGTCCCACTCTTTCTTTACCCACTCACCTGCCGGGGGGCGGTCGGTGGTCTCTCTCTCTCTGGGCCAATGAATGGTGCTGCCGTGAGCACCGGGGTGCGCACGCCTCTCCCAGCCCCTGTTCTCCTTGCCTTTGAGGAAAATGCAGCATTGGAGCTGCTGGGTCGCGTGGCAGCTCCGGTGCTGACGGTTTAAGGGTCCGTGCTGCCCGTCTCAGCAGCTGAGCCCATTTACAGCCCCACCAGCAGTGTGCACGGGTCCCCTTCTCACACATCCGTGCCATCACCTGTCGCTTGTCTGCGCGACCCCACTTCTTCTAAGGCGGGGTCACTGAGGTTCACCTGCAGCAGCAGCTCCTCCGCTTCCCACCCCTTCTGGAGACAGAGGCAGTTTGTAGGGACCACAGTCCTGTCTTGAGCGTCACTGGGGCCTGTGGCTCCAGGGGCCACTCGAGGCTGCTCACCTCCACTGTTCACACAGGGACAGGATCCGCCTAGGCCTTGCCCATCCCCAGCTCAGATCTGTGTCTGTCTGTCTGTCCTGCATTGCTCCTGTGGGACTGTCAGGCAGGGGGGTTAGGGACACAATTAAACCTGAAACCCTCAACTTTTAGCCATTCTCCTTGTTCAGCGTGGCCCCTCCTGGCCGAAGGCAGCCCACGGTGGGGAGGGGGGCTGGGCAGGCTTTGCCAACAGGCCGCAGGAGGAGGGCACGGGGCATTTGGAGCCCGTGGCGGGGGGGGGGGCGTTTTCAGCGCCCCCTGCAGTAGATGCCCCTACTGCTGTGGCTCCCAGAGTCTTCTACCAGCCCCCACACCGTGTCCCGGAGGAGGTGGCTTTGGGTGGTGGCCAGGTCCAACCAAGCAGCTCCGCTTGGCTGATTTGAGTAGGGGGGACCTTTTTTGACAATTCTGCCTGCTAAAAAGATTTCAGATATTTTAAATGTTTGACAACCAGTGATCTAACTTAAGCTCCTCATTCCCAAAACCCACGGGACCACATGGCTGCTTCCCTGTCGTGTTCCAGGCTCTTCCCCCAGCCCAGCCCCCACCAGCCCATTTCTGCCCAGCGGGCACTCCTTACCTGCCCCCCTTCTGCCCGTCATGCCCTGCTTGGCATGGAGACATTGCGATCCCACCTGGCCTTAGAGATGAACCTCAGGTCCCCAGCCTCCACCATAAAGGCACCGCCCCTTCGATGAGCTCCCAGCACTCAGAACCTGCCTCTATGTGTGTCCGTGTGTCTGTGACCCAGGGTCTGCCAGGTGAGCCTGGCCTTGAAGCTGGAGAGCTGAGCTCTTTCAGGGCAGGTGGCTCAGGCGGGGTGGCCTGTGAGGCGCTGCCCTCAGGGAGCCTCAGGTCCTCACCGGTTCCCTGCAGGGAGTGGCTGTGGACCTCAGTGAGGAAAGCGTGGGTGGGGGTGTCACCCAGAGTGAGTGTCATCAGCATGCTCAGGAGGCCCTTGAGCAGAGCAGCAGGCCAGGGGTCCCCTGAGCCTGGTGGCTGCCACCGGCCTTCAGTCAGGTTTGGGATGGAGTCCCAGGTCTGCCCCTCCCCAGTGTGCGGCTCCTCCCCCAGTAGGACAGGGACCGGTGGGAGGCAGGAGGGTGCTGCCCACGTGTGTTTGCCGCTGGTGTCGTGGCTTTGGGTGCCACTGGTGCTGAGGTCTTACCCCGTGGGGAGTGGGGGTGGGGTCTGTGAAAGGTCCCAGTCACCACGAACCAGCCAGGCAGCTGCAGCACCAGGGGTGTGTCTGCACACGCTCGCTCGTGCATGCACTCAATTCACACGCCCAGTCTGCGTGCACAGGTGGGGGCTCGGCGAGTTGCGATCAAGACCCCCCCCACGCGGCCCCCAGGTGTCCCGCGCACTGACTGTGCTTCTCTGCCCGCCCCCCACAGTACGAGTACAGCTTCCGCACGGAGCAGAGCGCCGCCGCCCGGCTCCCGCCCAGCCCCACGCGCTGCCAGCAGGCGCCCCAGTCCTGAGGGCCCGCCACCGCCTGCGGGGAGAAGATGCGTTGGCCCGACTACTGAGCGCCCCACCTCTGCTCCCTCCTGCCCGCCCTTCACGCTGCCCCCTCGGGGGCTCGTCTGGAAGACTGTGGGCAGCTGAGCGCCTCTGTCTCTGGGTCATCAGCTGGCCTGAAGCGACACCCTATCTTCCCCGGGCTGTGGGTCATGACCTCGACTAACCCATGCGCTGGTAGTGACCAGCAGCTCCTAACATGTGTGCGTGATGAGCGGCCATCCTCCGAACAACCTGCCTGCACAGGAGTCACCCGAGGGCCTGGACAGGTGCCCGGGGTGCCCAGTGACACCACCAGCTCCCTTCACTCCCGTCACCTGCCACTAAGCCATTGCCGTCCTCCTGGAAGCCCTGAGCCAGGGGCAGCTTTGCACAGACCCTCCAGGGAGCCCTCACCACCTGGACCCCGGCTGCCGTGGAGCAGGCCCCTCGTGCCCACAGCCTCGAGTGCTCGCAGCGTCCACGGCAGCCCCAGGAATGAGCACAGGAGGGGGAGGAGGCCAGTGGCCCGGGTGGACCCACACCCATCCCCTGCCCCACTGTGGACGTGCTGTGCTCAGACTTGCGACGGGACTCACACACTGGACGTCCTGGGGCCAGGGGGCGGCAGGCCCCAGCTGCCGGCACCGACAGGACTTGCTCTCCGGGCAGGAAGCCCGAGTACCCGGCGCTCGCTGCTCAGTTCACTGGGCTCACCCACTTCACACCCACTTCCCCCAAAGGGCTCGTCTTTGCAGCACCCACGTGCCATCAGCAGTGCCAACGGCTCTGCCCGGTGCTGTGAGCCAGCGCCCGGCCCAGGAGGACCGGGGCGCGTGCTCACCTGGCTTCTCAGAGCCAGGCCACGTCCTGACAGTGTGTGCTCCTCACGATGGTGGTTTTGACAAGCCTGTCCAATCCAGGTCACCAGCCGCGGCCAGCACCAACATTTCTGCCACTCACAGCCGGTAGACACAGTGCCAGCTGCCAAGTTCAACTCCACACACATTTGCCATGACAACAGGGGTTGCTGCTGTGTGTGGGGGCTCGGGCCCTTCCCTGGTGGCCTGCCTCGTCTGGCTGTTGGTGTCTCCCATCTCGGGGCGGGGGGAGGTCACCAGATGGTCGGAGCTATGCACAGGTTTGGTGTGAGGGGGCGGGGTGGAGAGCAGTGAGGTCCCCCCACCAGGAAGGTAGCACAGGAGAGCCCCAGCCAGGGACAGGCCCCTCCCACCTGCGGTGCCACCCCGGGATGGCACGTGGTTAGCTGGGTTGCTGGGTCACAGTGGGAACAGCCAACAGTCTGGGGAGTGGCCACCAGCTAAGTGGCAGGGCAGAGCAAAAATACCTCATGTACCTGTCAGCCCCGCCCCCTCCAAGCCCCTCAACTCTTGACCCTGGTCACCCCCTTGGTGTTCATGTTGACACCTCCTGATTACTGCGCATTAACCTAAGGGCGTCCCTGGTGAGACCGGCCTCCCCATGCCTCCCACGCAGCAAGGCGGCAGGAAAACAGTTCGTGGAACTGGCCAGGGCCCGGGAGATTTGGGGATGGGGAACAGCAGCCCGCTGAGGACCTTTGGGACTGGTGCTTAACCAGGAGAGGGCCAGCTGGTCTCAGCTGCACCCGCTGAAATAAGCTAGTTGTTTCTGGGGACCCGAGGGAGCCCCTGGAGGCCCAGAACACACGTGTCTGCTGCTCCTTTTTGGATGCTTGGCTGGTTCAAAACCAGGCGACCTGTGTGACTCAAAGGCCAACAGCCAGAGATACCGCCCAGCGGGGGCAGGGCCGTGATCCTCCGTCCAGCTCACCGGATCATGCACTGTGTCCATCCCTCGATGGTTGCTCACACCTGCTTGTGAGATTCTCTCTGGTAACTCGGGCAGCCCTCCCCCCTCGACTGACAGCCAGGCCCTTTGGCGGCTCTGCTGGGCCAGAGAAGCTTCGCATACGACAGTGTGGGGCCCAGCGGTGAGAGGAGGAGGTTGTCCACCAGGGGGAGTCAGGTGAGCCAGGAGACCGCCACAGCCTCACAGACCTAGTCTAGGTAACAACAGTGTTGGCTGTGAAGGTCGCCGTGGCCTGAGCCAGGCCAGAGGCGCGGTGTGGGCAGGTTGGCTGTGTGCCGGCTGTTAGGCTGCTGCTAACCCCGTCTCTCTGCCGTGGGAGCAGTAGGGGAGGTCGAGCAAGTGCGTGGGCAGCAGTAGGCTGGGGTGCGGGGCTCGGGCTCACACCCACAGACCGCACGACCTGTTTCTCTCTGGGAGAGCACTTTGCAAACCGTCTGGCCAGGTGGGGAGGGAAGGAAGGGTTTTGTGGAAAAGGGAAGGGCAGCGGCCTTGCCCTCAGCCCCCCAGCCCCCCAGCGCCCTCTGTCCCCCCAAAATAAGCAGAGCACAGTGCCCCCTTGCCTTCTCCTCTCTCTGAAAGTTCAAAGTCTCCCCCCAAAGGCCGTGGAAGCGGCGACAAGGGGTAAGTGCTCCGCTCCAGGCTCACGTGCAAGTTTGCAGCAAGGCCGTCTCCCAACCCCTAGTCCAAGAACTGACCTCAGCTGTGGCCGCCCCCACCGGGAGAGGCAAGCACCCCACCAGTGGGAAGAAATAGCAGGTTAGCTCCCAGGCTGCCCAAGCTCCCCTGCCCCCCCCCCTGGGGTTGGAGGGTCACAACCTGTCTGCCCACCTCGCTGGTTGGTGACTCACAGTTGGTGGCGAGGAGCTGCTGAGGTTGGTTGGGACTGGTTACCCATGTCCTTCTGAAAGGAAAGGTGGGGGCGGGACAAGAACCAGCACACACTGTGCCCACACTCCATGCCGGGCACGAGGCCGGCAGCTTAAGCACATCTTTCTCCTGTCATTCCCCTAAAAACCAAACACACCCTGAAGTGGGTGTGATTTGCTCCTTGTCCCAGGTGGAGAAGCTGAGGCTTGTCCAAGGGCACAAGGCTGGTGAGTGGCAGAGGCAGTTTTTGGACCCGATGTCGCGGTGCCAGCCCTCCCAACCTAAGCACATGCCTCACGGCGACCTTTTAGTTTCTGGTCCAGTAACACATCCCAGCCGCCGCCGGTCACGCTGGCATCGCCGGAGCACCGTGACATGGGCGCTGAGCCCAGGGCGAGAGCCTGCTGGCCGCCCTGTCGTCATTGGCCGTTTGTGGAGTGGCCCGGCCTGCAGCTCCTCTGAGAACGGGGGGCCCTCAGCGAAGCAGCCGCGTGCCTGCAGGGTGTACAGAAGCCACGCCCGCCCGACTCGGTTCACTGTCCCCTGTCCCCCAGGGGCCCGGAGGAGGCGGCCAGTGCCCACGCTCCCGCCACCTGGTGCCCCTGGGTCAGCCCAGCTTTCTTCGCGTTGTAGATGGGGCCCTGCGGCAGCTGCCGCTGTCACCGCCGAGAGAGAGACGGGGTCTGTTCCCCCAGCCAAGGGCGCACGCTGCCGTGTGGCCGAGTGGGGCCTCCGACAGCCACTGCGCACTGGCCGTGGGAACGACGTCCCTCCTGTGAGTATTTATTTGAGGTGACTCTTGTACTTGGCAAAGGGAAGTTTCACTGTGTGATTGTCTGTCTTCTTAATATAATTTGTTAAATAAATGTTTGTTTTAACCTTTCCCTGGCTGCTGCTGTCTCTGAAGCCGCCCCAGAATGTCTGTCAAGGCCTCCAGCTTGTCCCACTGGCCAGGCCAGCCGCGGGCATAAGGAGCAGAGGGCCGCCACCCCCGACCTGCCGGCCTCCTTGAGAAAGCCAGGGGGCCGCCGCACCCCACAGGGTGTAGACAGCCTGGTCACAAGGCGGCAGAAGTCGGAGGGGCCAGCCCCAGGAATGCCCCTGAAGGAGAAAAGCCCCACTTGCCACAAAAGCCTGTGCGGTGTGTGCATTTCAGCAGGTCACCAGTGAGGAATGTGGGCTCTTTCGTCTGCACTGGCCCTGGAGCCATGTCTGGGCGGGCTCAGGGGGTCCGCTGGCAGGAGGCTACAGCTGTGTGGTTTCCATCCTGCCCCCGGACTGCTCACCTGCTTGTGAGACACCACCCCAAACGCCCGGGGGGCCGCAGGGCCCCGGGACACGCAGGGGCTCCTGCGAGGACCTGCCGGTTCAGGCCTCGCTGTCAGAGCACCGCGCCTCCACAGGTGACCTTTGCGTTTTGGGGCTGAGCCGCCGCTGCCTCCAGCCCCACTTCTGCCAGACGCCGTTGAGGCCGGGTGGCCCTTAGCTCACACCGTCTCAGCTTGCTAGGACCACAGGAGTCCCCACAGAGTGTCAGAGCCTCTGGCCCAGGCCCCAACCACGGGCGCCTCCAAAAAGAAAAGCCCCCCCGAGAATTAATTGCATGAGAAGCTCCCAAAGAACACTCAGTGTGGATTCAAAATCTGGCTCTGCTACTTACCGACCTGGTGGCCCTCCACTGATGACCCAGTGCCTGTCAGAATGGGGACTGCGCCTCCCTTGCGCAGACGGCACAAGGACACTCACGGGGCACTTAGCCCGAGCAGGGCCCGAGGGCCCGCAGGCCTTTCTCTGGGGCCTGGGCTCTGAGTGGCCGTCCAGAGCACGTGCTGGGGCACTGAGCAAGTGCAAGTGTGGCCTCCGACCCCCAGGGCCCAGGGTCTGCTTGCAAGGAGCCTCGGGCACCGCTCGGGAAGGCAGACAGACAGACGGATGCTCGGATCCCCTGAAGAGGCACCTCACACACTGGCCTTCAGACAGGAAGAAAACCAAAGTCCATACACAGCAGCCAAGGCCAAGGCAGGGTTAGTAGGTAGACCCAGAGGACACTCAGAGCCCAAAGCAGGACCCAGCTGAGCCCCAGAGAGGCCGGAGCCAGCGGCACCCATTCCTCCTGTCTTGCCCCCCCCCCGCCTCATCTGCCACTACCTGGGTGTCTGCTTACTTCTCACTCACACATGCCCTCTCTCTCATGTGCTCTGCACACCAGCATACGTGGCACACATATGCATATGTACACACAGCCACCCAAGTTCACACATTCTTGGTTCAGAATTTTCAGAGGCAAGAGAACCAGGGCAGACTCTGATTGGCTGGCCTGGATCAGGTGACCCCCTTCTGCCCCTGGTTTCTCTGGCCCAAGTGGGAGGGGGAGTATATGATCACAGAATGTCTGGAGCTGGTCTAGGTTTGGGTCCTAGAGAGGCATCTGCTACAGAGGAGGGCAGGACCAGGGGCAGAGGGCTGGGAGACCTTCCCGGGGAGATAGAAAAGCACCCCACCGGCCACCGTGATAGGAGGGCCGACGGTGAGGTGCGTGACCCATCATTTATCCTTCATCTAGCCCTTCAACGCGGGTGAGTGCCTTCTGTGTGCAGACTTTGAGCCGGGCACTGGGGACTCACGGCGACATCCCTGTCCCCGTGGAGCTGATGATGGTCTAGCCCGTGTCACTCGTGTCCACACCCCAGCCACATCTGTCCTCCCTGTCCCCCTGCTCTGCCCACTTTTCCCCAAACTGGCTCACCCCTAAAACTCTGAGCTCCCCCACGCCCCACCCTCGCCCCTCTCTCCCTTCTGCGTCCTCCCGGCAGCTGGGAGCAGCCCATGTCTCTCACTGTGCCTACCTCTGTCACTGGCCCACAGTGATACAGTTCCAGCAGTGACTTGGATGTTCCACCTTGACCTTGGCATAGCCCGAGCTGCACGTACCATCTTCCCCCAAGCCCCGAACGGCTCCCCTTCCGACTGCTACCTGTCAGGAACAGCTTTGCTCTGGAACAGCTCTGCCAGAGCCACCCACGCCACCACCCGGAGCCAGCTGTGGTCACCCCCATTGCCAGCAGGACAGTTCTCTCATCTAAATTTGTTTTCAAACTCAGTCACTCTTTTCTCTTCTTGATGCTCTTTTTTTTTTTTTTTTTTAGTTCCGGCCCTCAAGACTGTTTACCTGTTTTACAGCAGCTGCCATGTAGCCATTCCCCAGCCCCCAGGGTCTTCCCATGTCATCCCTTCCCCACCCAGCCAGCTCCGTGGGACAGGACTGCACCTGCTGACTGACGTCCAAGTCAGGTTTCCACGCCTGCCTGCCTGCGTCTGACCCCAGCTCCCACCCGAGTGGAGCCTCCCCTTGACCTCCCCGTTCACATGCGCTTCCTCAAGCCCCAACCTCTGTGCTTCTTTGCCTTTGTATATGCTATTCCCTCTGCCCAGAATGCTTTTCCTTGTCGAGGAACTTGCAGGACACAAACTCAGTGTACAAAAATCATTTGCTTTCCTGCACACTAATGATAAACTGTCAGAAAGAGAAGTTAAGAAAACAATTCACTTACACCAAAAAGAGTAAAATACCTAGGAATAAATGTAAGCAAGGAGGTGAAAGGCCCGTACCCTGAAAACCGTGGGACATTGATGAAAGAAATTGAAGGCGACAAAAATAAATGGGAAGATATTTCATGCGTATAGGCGGTTAGAATTAATCCTGGGAGGGTTAATATTGTTAAAAAGTCCGTACTACCCAAAGCAACCTACAGACTCAATTCAATCTTCAAAATTCCAATGGCACTCTTCACAGAAACTGAACAAACAACCCTAAAATCCGTATGGAACCACAGAGGACCCTGAACAGCCGCAGCGAGCTTGAGAAAGAATGAAGCTGCAGGTAGGAGGCTCCCGGGTTTCAAACTGCATTACAAACTACAGTAACCAAAAGTGTGTGATGTGTGGTACCAGCAAAGAAGCAGGCGCGTAGATCAATGGGACAGAATAGAGAGCCCAGAAATAAACCCGTGCATATATGGTTCAATTAATTTATGACAAAGGACCCAAGAGTTTCCAATGGGGGTGAAGACTGTCTTTTTTAATAAATGGTATTGGGAAAACTGGACAGTCGCATGCAAAAGAATGAAACTGGGCCACCGTGTTACACCATGTGCCAGCGTGAAAATGCCAAGGGGGTTGAAGACTCCCAGGTGAGACCTGAAACCGTGAAACTCCTAGAAGGAAACACAGGTGGTAAACTCCTTGACCTTGGTCTTGGCAGTGAGTCTCTGGATCTGACTCCAAAAGCAAAAGCAAACAAGTGGGACGACGTCCAAAGAAACGCTTCTGCGCAGCAAAGGGCATTTAAACAAAGGAAAAAGCCACCTGCAGAACGGGAGGAAGTATTTGCAAATCATACGTCTGATAAGGTGTGACTCTCCAAATTACATAAAGAGCCCACACAGCTCTACAGCAAAACGAACCAACGTCTGATTGATAAACGGGCAGCGGGTCCAAGCAGACATTTCCCCAGAGAAGACATCCGGGTGACTGGCAGGTACTTGGAAAGATGCTCAGCATCACGAATCACCAGAGAAATGCAAATCAGACCACGGCGAGCTACCACCTCGCGCCTGTTAGAAGAATGGCTGTTAATAAA